GTGTGTGTGTGTGAGTGTGTGTGTGAGTGTGTGTGTGTGTGTGTGTGTGTATAAACAATATTTATTGAAAATTCACAAAAAAATCTGATTTACTAAAAAAAAAAGTTTTCAATACAATTTTTTTACTAACCAAATTATACTATTTTTACTTTACAATTTAAACTAAGAACATTTTTATTTAATATTTAATTTCACAAAATTTTGTGAAAATCCACTCGAAAATATCTGTATTAAATAAACCTAAATAAATTTACTAATACAATATTTACACATGTGTGAGTGAGTGAGTGAGTGTGCGTGCGTGTGTGTGTGTGAGTGTGTGAGTGTGTGTGTGTGAGTGTGTGTGTGTGTGTGTGTGTGTGAGTGTGTGTGTGTGTGTGTGTGTGTGTATAAACAATATTTATTGAAAATTCACAAAAAAATCTGATTTACTAAAAAAAAAAAAGTTTTCAATACAATTTTTTTTACTAACCAAATGATATGATTTTTACTTTACAATTTAAACTAAGAACATTTTTATTTAATATTTAATTTCACAAAATTTTGTGAAAATCCACTCGAAAATATCTGTATTAAATAAACCTAAATAAATTTACTAATACAATATTTACACAATATTTAGTGAAAATCCATTCAAAATAGCTGGAAAGTAAGTGTATCTGTGCACTGTTTGAACTGATGCATTTCTGTCGCATCGCTGATATATCAGTCGCTCACTAGATTGATGCACAAAAACTTTAAATAACGAATGAATGAATGAAGACTGTACAGCAGAGAGAATCGGATATTTCTAATCTAATGCTGCACATAAACTGAGTATTACAAAATATCCCCCAGAACTACCTGAGAGTCTATTGCTAGTGTGACATTCATAATGTTTGTTGTGAAGGTGAGTGAAGTGAAGCAAAAGCGCCACCTGGTGTAAAGAAGACGCCACTGCATGGAGAAAACACATCGTCTCTATTAATGAAGGCCAGAGGGAAATTAAACACCTAAAATTGTGTAAAATCTCTCTTTATTTATTCAGCTCAGCATCGTTCCACCTGTACAACCGCAGGAGATCTGACGGGTCTGTTGAACATCACAATCACCAGAAACCAGATCCAGAGAGCATCCCTCCGGTCCGATCTTCATTATTTACAGCCTGCATGTCCAACACAGATCCAGAAGAAAAGGTGCATGAGAGAATCAGTGCAACACCCTCAAATAAAGCCACAAAATCATTTACCGTCTCACAAAGGCTCCGGGACGAGAAACAGTCAGAGAGAACCAACAGAATAAGGAGACACACAAAGCAGACGAACATTTGGACATAAAAGACTGCATTTATGTTTAAAATTATCCGAAAAACATCTGCTTAAATGACTGAAAGGAAATTCTCTTTTTTCTTGCTCTTTTTTTTTTTAATTGCCGATTCTTATTTTTTATGGAATATTGTATAAGAGATTTATCAATGCAACACCTGCCAAATACAGGTGAAAATTAACCATGCCGGTTAACACATAACTCACCAGCCATATTGGCAGGTTATGATTAGTAAATTATGTTTTCCAATATTAGTAAAAGAAGGCGTAAAGATGGTGAAAGCGGCACATCTCTAAAATTCAAATCCATTTAAAAAAATTAAATAAAAAAACAAATGCAACAAAATAAATACTGTGAAGTAGCTGAGAATTTTATTTTTAATCTATTTTTATGGTTTCTGTAAACCATGATCGACTGTCATAAATCTTTAATGATTCAGAATCAGGTTTAAGAAACATATTTAAATCTAAGATCTGGTTTATCACTGATATTTTTGTTTTGGATTGTTCTTATTCTTTTTTTTTATTCTTAATGGTTTTAATACAATTAGATACATTTGTAATCATTTTTATTCTTTGCTTTTGTTGTTGTTACTTTTTTATTTATTATGCATGCTTTTTTATGCATCATGCATCAATTGTGATCATTTTATGATTATTTTGAATCCTTTTTATATAAAGCACTATGAATGACCTCCGTGCACGAAATATGCTATAGCCAATAAATAAGTGATAAAGTTGATGAGTGATAAAGTTCATTTCAAACTTTGATCACAACAGGGAAGAAGAGGCGATTGCAACTTGAATTTAATGTTAACTTTAAACGAGTTTTGACTTCCATTTGTGTGATTTCAGAGTGTGCACACTTTACTATTATTGTGGAAAATAGTCAGAATAAGTAATGTGTCCAAATGTTTGACTGCTTCTGTACGTCATCCCTCTGCAGGCTTTGTGGAAATTACCCACAAGCACTCGGGAATGTCTGAGAATGGAGATAAAAGCGTCTCTGGCTTCAGCTGGCGCGTCCCATCGGATGACGGCACCAAAACGGCGTCACAACGACTCGATCCAGAAGATAACAGTATAAACACGAGTAACGACGTGTCCCTGTCCTCTCATCCGCGTTCTGTCGGGCGATAAATCAATGTTGCGTTCGTACACATGTAAGCAGAGCTGAGCAACAAAAGACAGGAAATTGATTTCAGCAGGAAACTCCGAGATAAAAACATCTGGGATATTAATAAAAGTCATCAGTCAGAAAGAGCAGCGGAGGAGAAAGATGAAGAAGATACGAACACAATAAAGCGCACAGATTCATCATTTACTATCCAGAGACGGACAAAACTGCAATAAACATGCTAAACATGTTTTTACGTGTTTAGATATTTAGTGTGAGAAACGATCTGTGAAAAAGAGAAAACGAGCGACAGATGCGAGTTCATTGGCCGACCGTCTCGTCCAATCAGGCGCCGGTCTGCTTTTGACTGACAGCGGCTCTGTGGGAAGTCAAAGGGTTGTGGGCGGGGCTTATCATGAAGTTTTCCCTCATCTGGCATCTGATGTGAAAGACAGGATTAAAGAGAGCACAGATGGAGTAGAGTCGAGGAGTTTGGAGCCCAGAAATGTGTCCGTCTCGGCCGTTTCTGCAGGACAGCTCTTCAGCTGGAGTAGATCTGGGTGCCGATCACGCGCATGATCTCCTTCTGGATCTTGGGCTCCTGTGTGTTAATGTTAGCATCTCCCACCTGACCGTCCTCATACCTGACACACATGGATCACATTAAAACAATATTTCATATGTGTCCCTGCAGCACAAAAGCAGTGTTGAGTCGCTGGGGGATATTTGTAGCAATAGCCAACAATACATTGTATGGGTCACAATTATACATTTCTCTTTTATGCCAAAAATCATTAGGATATTAAGTAAAGATCATGTTCCATGAAGATATTTAGTAAATGTCCTACTGTACATTTTTGATTGGCAATATGCATGGCTAAGAACTTCATTTGAACAACTTTAAAGATGATTTTCTCAATATTTAGATTTTTTTGCACCCTCAGATTACAGATTTTCAAATAGTCGTATCTCAGCCAAATATTGTCCGATCCTAACAAACCATACATCAATGGAAAGCTTATTTATGATGCATGCATAAATCTCAATTTCGAGAAATTGACCCTTATGACTGGTTTTGTGCTCCAGGGTCACAAATGTTATACTACAATATTCATGCTTTGTAAGCAGCTTTCGCTTGACAGTAGCCTATTAGTGTTGTTATTGTTAACTGAAACTATTAAAATTGTTTTCGTTAATTGCAATAAAGCTGAAATAAAACAAAATATAACCTAATATCAAAAACAAACAAAAAATGTTGCATTGGCGACTAACTGAAATTAAATACATTCAAGTATTAAAATGACTAAAACTAAAGCTGACATAAAAAATAAAGCTAAATGCAGAAATTAAAAAGAGAATGAAAATGACAAAAGCACATAACAAAATGAAAACTAAAACATAAAAAGCTATGAATAAATATTATAAAAGTACATAAATAATACTAAAAACAACTACTGGTAACTAATTAACTACTGTGCAATATGCAAATCATTTATCAGACCGCCTGTGCATGTCACAATTTTTGTGCACTTTTCCCCCTTGCACATTTCTATAATAATATCTGTGCATAGGTTATCTATAATACATATGTCTGTGCTTTGTGTATTTCTATATATACTCTATTTACTTCATTTTTGATAAAATCACTGCAAAAGTCATTTTTTTCCTCACTGTTTTTGTTTTGTTTTCCGGTACAAATATCTAAACACTCTTAAATCAAGATACATTTACAAAATGACATAAAATAAGAAGTCTTGATTTCTGAAAAATGTATCAAAATTGAGTTTTTGCTTAAAACGAGAAAAAATCTGCCAGTGGGGCAAGAAAAATAATCTTGTTTTTCCTTTGAATGAAGTACATTTTTGCCCCACTGGCAGATATTTTGATGCATTTGATGCAGGAAAAAAAGACTTAAATTGTCATTTTGCATCTCAAGTAAATGTTTCTTGATGCATGAATGTTTTGATATTTGTACTGGAAAACAAGACAAAAATACTGAGATAGAATTTCATTTTTTCTTGTTATCTCGACATTACAAAATAGTGGATTTCTCGAGTTTTCGACATAACACGAGTTGTTTTCATGATTACGAAATAGTAAAATAGTTGTTTCTTGTGATCTCGACATCAACACCGACCCATTATCCAACAACAGCACTAATTAATTAATGAATTACCTCAGGCGTTTGCATATTAAGAGTGCTGTATTTTTGCTGTAGATTAATCACATAAAAAGGAAAATACACACAAAAAAGTTTTTGTTTTGTTTTTATTGTTCAGTGTTATTGTAGTTAACTTGTAGTTAAAACACATTTCCGTTTCTTGAAATAAAATGAAAATGAACCAAAATAAAATTAAATGTAAAAGATTTCAGCTAGCTGCCAAGGCAACATTTTTCACTTTAATTTAGTTTAACTTGATGCACTAAAATAACTCAAACTAAAACTGAAATAAAAATTAATCAAATTATACAGACATATAAGAAAAAGAAAAACTACCAAAAAATCCCAAAAACAAAATTAATAAAACTTTAAGTAAAATTAAAATGAAAACGGAAAATATAAAAAGTAAACTAAACTAAAATAATGATACTAAAAATACAGTTTTATTATTATTTGTTATTTTATTCTAGTGCACAGAAAATCATGAAAAAACTACTTCTGTGTCTCTGTGTGAAAGCAGCCAGTTTTTTATGTCAAGATCACGAGAAAACAAGCTTTTGTTATGTCGGGCTCACAAGAAAATTAAGTTGCGATCAGAAGAAAACAAGAAAAAAGAAATGCATGGTAGACAGATACTCACACGAAGAAGAAGCGTGTGCAGACGTGGTCAGACACCGGACACACCCAGATGTTCCCATGTTTCTGCAGGTCTTTGGACGTGATCACTGTCAGCACACAAACACAATCCTCTCATGTGTCAGAGGTTGGTTGAGAAACAGGACTTCAGCACACACGAGGGAATTCACTAAGCAATATATATTCAAACAAGACTGAGTGAATTGTGAATTGTTAGAGCAGGTGAGATCGGAGATGTTTTACCTTCACAGAGAGCGATGCAGTTTAAGTTCCTGCTCTGGAGGAACCGCGACTGTATGGGACGACTCTGTTGAAGAACAAATAACTCACATTTACTCCTCTGAGAGCCGAGCACAGATCACATGTTTTTAACGCTTCTGTCGTACCTGTGGCATTGTGTTCATTCGATTATATCGCTGGACTAACTCATCTTTAGTGGGCATGCGATGCTGGCCCTTCCCCATTCCTGAACACACACACACACACAAATCAAATCAATCAATCAATCAATCAATCAACGTTTGATCTTGCATTCATCCCTTTTCCAGTGCTGGTGCTCAAATGTGAGCTGGAGCACAAAAGCAGTGTTAAGTCGCTGGGGGATATTTGTAGCAATAGCCAACAATACATTGTATGGGTCACAATTATACATTTCTCTTTTATGCCAAAAATCATTAGGATAAATACCGGACAAAAATACCGAGGAAGAAACTCGTTGCATTACGTGGAAGAAATGAACAAAAGGTAGAGCAGATTAAAGAAAAAGTCTCGTCTTACACAAATGTGCTTCTTTTGTTTCGTAAATGTATTTTTTTGAAAGGATATTTTCAGACAAAACAAGACGAAGAACATGTTTGTTTGCAGAGTGGAAAAGGAAAAACAATCCAGCACATACAAAAAAAAAACCATAAATCACACAGAATCAAAAAGAGTGTGTCCACGCACAACAAAGCACTCATATGGATCAGAAAACAGACTGAGGTGTTTGTTACAGAGAGACAGAGACTGAGATGTGATGAAGAACCCACAGCGAAGCACGGAAGACGCGGGTCTGGATCGTACCTGAGTATCCAAAGGAAATACTGGATATGGGGCTCAGATAGATGCCTTTCCCGTACGCTGCTCCGTGCAGCTTTGATGAAAGAGAAGAAGAGGAGGAGAGAGTTACACGCTCTGCACACGCTCGCCGTGAAAGAAGAGAAACACGGCAGATACGCGTGTTCACATTGTTTAAATTTATACCACCCGATAGAAACCCGTCATTATTTTTGATGCTCCTGATATTATTTTTCTGAATAGTAACCTAATCAGCGGCTTATAAATCTGATTTCTTGGCAGATTTACATGCACAGGATATAAAGCAGGCCCTGAAACTAATAAAATAAATCAAATTTTTGTTCTTAACCTACAATTCATATTTCTTTCTAAAATGAACTAAATTGAACCTGATTATATAAACATTTTTACTTTATTGCATGATTTTACTTGTTGAATTCAATCAAATAAGACAAGAAAATTGAAACCAAACACCATTTAATGTATCTGAAACTAATTTTCATGTTCATTTAATGTTAGATATTAGATCTATCTCAATAGAAAAGGGGAGTTGGGATCCCAATTTCTACGCTATTCATGCAAAACCAAATCAGTTTTTTATTGTCTTGATTTTGTAAGCAATGATCTTTAGCTCAAAACTGTAGAGGGAAAAAATATAGTTGCTACATTATATTCAATAAAGCAAAATGTAGTTTGCAATTAAAATGTAGTTTGCAATCAAAATTAGTTTGCAATTAAAATGTAGTTTGCAATCAAAATTAGTTTGCAATTAAAATGTAGTTTGCAATTAAAAAGTAGTTTGTAATCAAATAGTTTGTCGCACTGCATCACTTTTACTGCATTTAATTGACTGCAGACAGTTTTATTATAATGGAGGCGTTCTAGTTTGTTATTTTAGTTTTTGTCTGGCTGCATTTATTTGATCAAAATAAAAATAGCAATAAAAAGTCCACACCAGATATTCAGTGCAGAGAGTTTTGTTAATTATAACGAAGCGTTGTGGTTCATTGCGTCGTGTGATCGGCTCTGACGAGAGACTGATTCTCTGTGACGCGCGTGTGTTTCTGCAGGTCACGGAGACTCACTGGAAGGCGAAGGTGCTGCCGTAGAGTTTCTTTGCGGTGCGAAATCGAGCTTCTTTTGCAGGCGGGCTGCTCAACAGCAGAAACTGATGAGACGTGTGCATGAACTTCAGCTGCTATACACAGCAAAAAAATCAATAAAAATACAAAAGTAATGACAAAAGCTTATGAAAGGAAAGCTGTCCTTGCATTTAAAAGTGTTCATCTCACCCTACTGAGCGGCAGCTTCACAATATGAGACCTGTTACTGGATATAATCCTGCAGAGAGAGACAGATGGAGCAATAAACCATCAGAAAGGCCTAAACTGTGGTGTTACTGTGGTAAAATCACTGTAAAGCCCAGCCTGTTGCTTTTTAACTCACCACTGCAATAACGGATGAGCCAGAGGATCCAGTTTATCCATCTGCTTCTTAATCTCCAGATACGAGCCCTGATAATACAAATACAGTTTCTGAAAAACAGTCTCTGATAACTCATTTATCAATTATCATATATATTATATTTTCATACGTAATTTAATTTAGTCTTTGCATGATTTCCATATGAACATGGTGGGAATTATATTTTATAAATATTTAAGCATCATTGCTTAAATCGTTGACTGACTGAAAGGCTTTCTAGCAGTTCCTCAAAAAACAAATCTGGACAATAAAACCAGATATATCCTGAAATATTAATGAACACATTTGTTAATGTTGCTTTCCGCCGCTGTACCTGTGTCATTTCCCGAATAGACATCACACTGTCTAGAGCTTTCTGCAGACGCTCATAATTCTTCTTCTGTTCGGCACAGGAGCAATACAATAATCACACACAGACACACAGAGACACACAGACACACAGACAGTACGAAAATATATCCAGTGTGAGCAAAGTCAGTAAGTTTTACTCCGATGCAACATTAAGTAGCATTTTCATGAAAACAAATCCTCTCTGGGTTAAAATGACACAACCTGAAGATTAATTACACATCTTGATAATCTTTATCAGGAAACAAGCCGTCTTAAGCCATTTCGTTTCTCAAGTAAACGTATCTTGGTTTAACAATGTTTAGATAATTCGCACTGAAAAAGACGACAAAATACAAAAATCTCACTGGATTATTACAATTAATGGCGAAAGCAATGTTTGGAAATGTAAACTGATATTTCCTACTGACACACTACAGCAAAATACAGAAATAACTGACTTAAAACCATTTTTTGTTGGTGAAAATACTAGTGGCCTAAGACTTTTGTACAGTTGTGTCTGTGATGCAGAATCTGCATTCCAGCCTTTACAGGACAAACGATAGTTGATCTGAGTGCAAGTAGAGACGGTCACCTTCGGGTTAAAGGCGAGTGTTTTGGGGTCATTGGGGTCGACCACAGACGGATACGGCTCAAAGATGATGCTTTTACGGGGCGACTCGAGAGCGGCGCGACACATGGCCACCAGCAGGTCCACCACCTGAAGATGAACATCACATATCATTAACTCCACAAACACTACACCTCAGGAGACGGGATGAATGAATGAACGCACCTCAGCGCCGGTGGCCACCTCCTCAGCCGCTCCGGACATCACTCCCAGCGTGTAGAAGGAAAACACACACAGCTCTCTCGTGCAAACCGCAGGCTGGTGGGAAGAAACCGACCAATCAGAGCAAAGAACCCAGCTTCAGTCGTGAGCAAAGGCTGACGCTCACCTTCAGCATGGATCCGTTCTGGAAGACGTGCTGCTCGTCACACACCACGCAGTATTCGTTCAGAGTGGGGATGCGCTGCTCAGAGTATTTCATTATCTAACGGAGGATAATCAGAAGAAATGCTGAGCTGATGGGATCCTCTGTCACAGGAAGATCAAAGAGAACCGCAGCGCAATCACAGCGGAATCACGAGTCTGTTGTGTTATATGATGATGATGATGATGATGATGACTGCAGTTATGAGCGAAAAGACTAACTGGAAACTGCATTAGGACACAGCATTGTTGAATTGGTTGACACATATTTCAAAGAACTCAAGTATCGCTCCAATTCTAGATGCTGATTGGTTAATCCAGTGTTCCAGATGGGCTAAAAATACACACAACACACACTACTGTAGATTCTTTATTGCTTATGTTCACCAAGGCTGCATTTATTTGATCAAAAATACAGTAAAAATCTGAAATATTATTGCAATTTAAAATAGCTGGTTTCTATGTGAATATCTGTTAAAATGTAATTTATTTCTGTGATCAAAGCTGTATTTTCAGCATCATTACTCCAGTCTTCAGAAATCAGTATAATATGCTGATTTGCTGCTCGAGAAATATTTCTGATTATTATCAATGCTGAAAACAGTCGTGCCGCACAATATTTCTGTGGAAACCGTGACGCATTTTATTTTTCAGGATTCACAGATGAACAGAAAGTTCAAAAGAACAGCATTTATTTGAAACAGAAATCATTTGTAACTTTATAAATGTCTTTTCTGTCACTTTTGATCAATTTAATGCATCCTTGCTGAAAAAATAAAATAAAAATCTTACCAACCCCAAACAGCAATGATGTCAAACAGCTACTATGTACATCACGTTTCACTAAATCACATTTGAATGAATGTGAATGTGTCCTAAATATAGCTGTGCTGTTGTTTAAGTCTGGCCTCTTGAACCTCATTACTGTAATAACAGCTCAGCTATAAAGTAATCACAGGTTCGTTTACTACATTACAGTCGCTCCGTCATGTTCCTTTTGAACTAATAAATGCGGTTTTAAGCAAAATACTTTATATGTAGTGTAAAGAGATTTAAGAAATGAGAGCCTTTTAAGAATGAAAACCTGAACAATTTCTTAAGATAAGCACACGTACAAGCGGTCAACCTTGTGTGGTAAAAACAAAAGAAATGATTCCAGACCACAGAATTCTTGAAAATTAATGCATATTCAAGTTAGTTATATTATCACCTTTGGTGTGCATTCATTTTCAATAATTTAGTGGACTGTTGCTTATTTTGTTGGTTTGTTCTTTGTTTCTAATTTAATTTAATATTTAATTTAATTTTTAAACTTCAAAATAAAGCTGTACATTTTTGGTAGGTGCTTTAATCATGTGCGTCATTAATGCATATTAAAGTTTGTTATATTATCACATTAAACGTGCATTCATATTCAATAATTTAGTAGAATGTTGATTATTCTGTTTTTTTTTCATTTCTAATTTAATTTAACTGAACTTGATTTATAATTGAATGCATAATTAAATGTAATAATTTTTATTTAAATTAATTTAATTAATTTTTAAACTTCAAAACGAAGCTGTACATTTTTGGGAGGTGCTTTAATCCTCTGCGTCATTAATGCATATTCAGTTTTGTTGTATTATCACCTTAGGTGTGCATTAATTCAGTTTGTTATTTATTACTAATTTAATTTAATTTAATCATTTTCAATTTAATTTGTAATTTAATTTGATTTAGTTTTTAGACTTCAAAAATAAAGCTGTACATTTTTGGCAGGTTCTTTAATCCTCTACGTCATCACGATTATAACCTTTTATCAGATTTACGGTCCGTATTTACACTGTATAAAATGACCGTGAATTTAACGGTAAAATACTGTAAAAATGCTACAGTAAAAACCTGTTAAATGGTTAACGGTAAATTCCCCTACTATATACGGTGAAAAACTGTATTGGACATTACATGCAATTTTACGGTAGTATACCGTTTTTGGAAGTGAATTCTAGACTATAAGACTATAATTTACATAGTGAATAACTAAAGACTAGACTAAAAGACTATAATTTACAGTGAATAACCGTAAATTGACATTCCCAGAATTCCCTGCGTTACATTTCAAATTTGATGTTTTTTTGTTGAAATAACTGTTTCTTCTTAGTTTTTTTCTTATCAGTTTTGTATATTAGGGTTGTGTGTTACACCTAATGTTGTTAAATGAATGTTTATTGCATTATTTCAGTTTCATGTGTGTCACCGTGATGGTGTTTAGTGTTTGTGTGAATGACGCTGTGCACCGTCTATATGTGACTTTCTCATCACCTCCTGCATTTGGTGGTTATCAGTGTATTACAAAGGTGCAAAACAGATTTCAGTCCTTCAATAGGTTGGTATATTAACATTATATCAGTTAATGAAATTACGGTATTTAACTGTAAATTTAAGTTAAAACCGTAAAACCTAAAATGTTGCTACCGTATTTTTTACGGTAAAATTCCAGCAACCACAGCTGCCGTTTTTTACCGTAAATGTTACAGTTTTTTTTTTTTTACAGCGTAGACTCACTCACACGTTCACTTAGACACTGCACTCGTCATGCACGGATGTAATGTTCGGATGTACGCTGGGCATCATGGGAAAGGATGAAGTCGTGCGTGTCGCTGAGGCTGTGGTGAGACGGTACCTGCACGAGGAAGCCGTACTCCAGCGTGGGGATGTTCTTGCAGTGTCCGCCCGCCTGGGATGAGAAAAACAACTCAATCAGCTGGCGGGTGGTAATCTGCGCAGGGGCCCTGCCCGCCGGGACAGCCACAGTCTGATGGGTTAACGGAGACAAAGCATTATGGGAAAGGTGCCAGCCAGCCGTGTTAGGCGAGGGGGGTGTCGGAGGGCAAAGAGGCTGAGGGCTGGGATGAGGGACTGTGCATCCATGTTTTATCTGGAGGCCCTAGTGAGGGGTCACGGGTATGGAGAAGCGAGGAGAGAGTGTTTGGAAAGGAAAGCGTGCAGTCGGGGAAGACGGGATGCTGACCTGGCTGTTCGGAGGATAGCTAAACAGCTCCCCCTTGGGGTTCTTCATGGTACAGGAGATGGAGCGGTTCATGAGCCGGGTGACTCTGAGCTCGGGCACGTTCAGTTTGCCTTTCAACACTGTGTCCTGGATCAGGGGGAAACTGGGAGACCTGGAGCCAAGATGGAGGCCACAGCCAGCGGATGAGTTCATGCTGCGCTCACGTCACGCTGGAATTACCTGAATTATGATTGCCAACTAGCAGAAAGTAGAACTAGCACTTATGTAGTGTTTTTGTCTCGCTTCCAGCACAAACATCTAAACGTTCTTAATTCAAGATACAGTTACTTCAGAAGTAAAATTATATGGGATATTAAGTCTTGTTTTAAGAGCAGATAATCTGATAGAAGTGCATGGAAATAAACGACTTAAGTGACAAATTAAAGTTTTTAAAATGAGATTTGTGGCACTTTTATTTAAAATTTTAAATACATATAAAATAAACAAGGTAAATAAATAAAGAAAGAAATACAAATAAATAAATTATATATATATATATATATATATAATATATAAACATTTTTAATAAATATATAAAACATTTTATTATTTGTTAATAAAGCTCAACATTTGGGTTCAGGAAGCAAAATCGTCCTTCAAAATCTCCTTTAACTAAACCTTAATTAAACTAAACCTTTCAATACAGACCAAACAGACAAAACAGTACGTAATAACGATAGCCTTCCTGTAGCTTAAACAGCATGACGCTTGCAACACTGTCACTGGTTCGATTCCCAGTGAATGCATGCATCAAAAACAAAAACGTATAGCTTGAACGCATTGTAAGTCACTTTGCATAAAAGCGTTAACCAATTGCATAAATGTAAATGTAAATATAAGTGAGCCTGGAGCACAAAAGCAGTGTTAAGTCGCTGGGGGATATTTGTAGCAATAGCCAACAATACATTGTATGGGTCACAATTATACATTTCTCTTTTATGCCAAAAATCATTAGGATATTAAGATCATGTTCCATGAAGATATTTTGTAAATGTCCTACCGTAAATATATCAAAACTTAATGTTTGATTAGTAATATGCATTGCTAAGAACTTCATTTGGACAACTTTAAAGATGATTTTCTCAATATTTAGATTTTTTTGCACGCTCAGATTCCAGATTTTCAAATATTGTCCTCTCCTAACAAACCATACATCAATGGAAAGCTTATTTATTCAGCTTTCAGATGACCCTTATGACTGGTTTTGTGGTCCAGGGTCACATATATGCTTATACGTGTGACAATAAGACATTTCAAAACAAATCACGTTTACTTGCAGAATTCCAGGTGAGGAACTTCACTACCCATAATCCTGAAGCCAAAGAAGTTGCGGTTACCATGGAAACATAATCAATCTTTATGGCAGTGGATTTATGGAGGCTAACTGGGTAATTATACACTGTGAATCAATATGGGACGTTGTAGCAATCGTGTACCTTTGTTGTTTTTTACTTTATTACTTTTTTTGCTTGTAATGTTGTGATTATTCTGGAGTTGGTTGATTTGGTTCATAACTGATTATGAGTTCCCTATGGAGAAAATGAATGGGGAAACACTTCCAGCCAATCACTGTTGAGCCCTATTTCAGATGTATCAACCACGATCTGATTGTGAGCTTGTATGACGTGATTTCACATCAAACAATGAGAACGTACTTGGGAATTGGGGAGAAGATGCTCAGTCCTGCACGGAATTTCTTGATGGTTCCTCCGGCTTTGAACCAGCTGTGTCGCTTCTCCTGCTGGGCTTTGAGGAACTCATTGCTGAGGTGCTTCCACTGCTGCGACGTGAACGTACTGAGGATCCTAGAAACACCAAAACAAGCTTCAGCCTTCATTTTGACTCTAATAAAACTGCAGTGAAGATGAATCTTTATGAAAAGTATTGTTCCAGTTCTAGATGCTGATTGGCCAATCCAGTGTTCCAATACACACTACCACTGAAAAGTTTGGGGTCAGTAAGTTTCTTTAATGATTATGCACGCCAAAGCTGTATTTAATATTTGGTCACAAATACAGTAAAAATGTGAAATATTATTGCTATTTAAAATAGCTGTTTTCTATGTGAATCTCTGTTAAACTGTAATGTATTTCTGTGATGCGCAGCTGTATTTTCAGCATCATTCCTCCAGTCTTCAGTGTCACATGATCTTCAGAAATCAGTATAATATGCTGATCTGCTGCTCAAGAAACATTTCTGATTATTAACAATGTTGAAAACAGTCGTGCTGCACAATATTTCTGTGGAAACCGTGATGCATTTTATTTTTCAGGATTCACAGATGAACAGAAAGCTAAAAAAAAACAGCATTTATTTTAAATAGAAATCTGCAACATTATAAATGCCTTTCGTGTCACTTTAGATCAATTTAATGCATCCTTGCTGAATAAATAAATTAGAGTGAGTCCATAATGAACAATAAAAATGTAAATCTTTCGTTTAATTCTATATGGTTGTCTGTATGTTGACTTACTTCTTTAGTTGAAGACCCAAACTGAAGCCTTCTTTAGTAGACGGCTGAAACACCTCCACAGATGGTTCTGTTGGAGTAAATTAAATAAAAGTACTGTAAAGTAAATAAGTACTGTCTCATGCACAGAAATGCATGCATGCATGTTTCTCACCTGGTCCATCCAGATACTGTGAAAGAGAGAAACGGAGGCGTAAGACGATGGGCTCAGTTCGGATCACCTTCCATGCGGTCGCCACCTCCTCCTGCAAACACACAAATCACTTTATTCCCATTTCAACATCTGTTTATAAAGTTGTGTAGGTCATTTAGGAAGTGTGTGCTCTCACATCCAAGAAGCCGATGTTGATTTGCAGGTCGATGTCCACGTCATCGATGGTGCCGTACTCTCTGCAGGAAGAGCAGCAGACTCAGAATGAAAGTGAATCGGGTGTGAACGCACAGATCTGAATCAGAAGCGGAGCGAGGGTCGTTCTCACCTGACGGACACTGCGCTGTCTGTGTAAATGTCTTTTACAGCCTCGATGTCAGCGTCCAGCTGTGGGTGGCGGTACAGGTCGGCTGCGCAGCTCCCCTACAGGTAGACAGCGATATTACACATTATTAAACGGCTTGTTTACTGCACTTTCATTGCAAGAGATGTACACTACCGCTCAAAAGTTTGGGAGCAGAATGATTTTTAATGTTTTTACAGGAGTGTCTTCTGCTCATCAAGGCTGCATTTATTTGATCAAAAATACAAGAAAAACAGTAATATTGTGAAATATTATTATGATGTAAAATAACGTTTTTCTATTTTAATATGCATTAAAATTTCATTTATTTCTGTGATGCAAAGCATCATTACTGCAGTCTTCAGTGTCACATGATCTTCAGAAATCAGTATAATATGCTGATTTATTATCAGTGCTGGAAACTGTTGCTGCTTAATATTTTTTTGGAAACTGTGATACTTTTTTTCAGGATTCTTTGATGAATAAAAAGTTAAAAAGAAGAGCGTTTATTTAAAATAGAAATCTTTTCTAACAATATACACTACCGTTTAAAAAGTTTGGGGTCTGTAAATTTTTATTCTTTCTTTTTTTTTTGAAAGAAATTAAAACTTTTATTCAGCGAGGATGTGTTAAATTGTTAAGAAGTGATGTATTTTTAGAAAAGATCTATATTTTTAATAAATGCTGTTCTTTTGAACTTTTTATTCATCAAAGAATCCTGAAAAAAAAGTATCGCAGTTTCCAAAAAACACAACTGTTGCAACATTGATAATTCTAATAATAAATCAGCATATTAGAATGATTTCTGAAGAGCATGTGATCTTTATTCTGGAGTAATGATGATGGAAATTCAGCTTTGCATCACAGAAATAAATTATATTTCAATGCATATTAAAAGAGAAACCATTATTTTATATTGTAATAACATTTTGCAAGATTACTGTTTTTTTCTGTATTTTTGATCAAATAAACACAGCCTTGATGAGCAGAAGACACTCATGTAAAAACATTACAAGTCTTACTCTTCCCAAACTTTTGAGCGGTAGTGTACATACCTACTGCTTTGTTTCTGCAATAACATTCATTTAAGATTTAAACCCAAAAGGAAATATCTCACACATGAAGAAAATGAAATGACTTTTGCTGCTTTATAATACTGGCAACATTACTAACATTACAATGACTTACAAAATGTCTAAAGGCAGATTACACCTGTGAAGGAAAAGTGCTTTACCTGAATCCCGTACAGGAACTGCTCCGGTTCATTCTCTCCGTCTGATTCTTCATCCGTCCAGCCCTGGCCTTTGATATCCTGAAGAAAACACACGCGGTGCTATTTTAGTAGCATTTATATATTATTATAGTACTTATTGATGTTTTGAATGAGCTTTTATTTTTATATTTTCAGCTTTTATTTGAAATTTCGTTTAGTTGAAGTTTTAATACTTTTATTATGTGCCTTCATTTTTTTTTTTTTTTTCAGTTTTAGTTTCAGTAATTTTAGTACCTCGACCTAAACTCAGTTAGTTGCCAAGGCAACATTTCTAATTGTCATTTATTTTTTTTAAGTTTTGCGTTTAATATTTATATTTTATTTCAGCTTTATTTCAATTAATAAAAACTATTTTTAATAGTTTTTTTGTTTTCGTTAAACATGCACTTTTATTCTGGATTTCTGGATGCTAATTACTTCAATAGCTCATTATTTTGAGAACCCACTAAATAACAATATTAATAATAATATTAATAATAATTTACTTTATTCATAAATTTCTCCAAAATCTCCAAAAGAGATCAATAATAATAAAGTACATTTAAGTACAATAGATAAAATAAAATAAAAAACAATTATACATATTACATTATACAACAATTATCCACAAGACATTCGTAATATTGACTCTAATCTCGTTTGAAGATGCATCTTTTTAGACAGGCATAATGGAGATATTTTTATGTAATGATTGTAAAAATATGATTGTGGGTTGTAACTTTTATTGTTGCTTGTTAAATGTTTTATGAGTTTTATTTGCATGTAAGTTGTCCTTGAGTGTTATGTAAGGCGCCCATAAATAAAATGTATTATTATTATTATTATTATTACATACAAAACAATAGAACTCATAAACGAATTTAAAAGTATGAGTTTTTAATAATTTCTTGAAGCAACATACATTGTAAAAAAAAAATGCATAAAAGTAGGGCACAATGTACCATGCATTAACATGAAGGAATTAGAAAAACATCCAATCCAAAAATCCAACTCAAGTACATTATAATTTGATGCCTATGGGATGTTTTGAGTGAGCAACCGTATCCGAGGAGGGCGGAGCTTAGTGAAAGCTCAAATAAAGAGTCGCGTGTCATCTCACACCCGTTACTCCTCAGCCAGCGTTTGTGTGCAGAGAGCCGCAGGTGAACGCAGGTGTTTGCGTGTGTGATGAAGCGTGAGCGCTCACCATTGGCTCTGGTGTTCACAGACGTGTTTCTGACAAGATGAAGCTTTTCTGATCCATTTCAGCTCACACAGCAAAACAACAGGCACTCTGGGACGACAGGAGACGTCTTCAGTAAGATGAGCTCTGTGCTTTCTGTGGAAAAATAAACAGATTATTAGACAAATCATTGATCAAAACCACAGAGCGCTCTCCATTTAACTCAATAACCAGTTACCAGAGAGAAATGACTAATTACAGCGCACCTGCAGATCTATGCATCTCAAAAGAGACAATAAAATAAATCACTGTAATATCTGCAATCAGATTATAGAAGATCTGTAATAATGGAAGTGTGTTCCATATACACACACATATGTGTCTCTGCAGCACAAAAGCAGTGTTAAGTCGCTGGGGGATATTTGTAGCAATAGCCAACAATACATTGTATGGGTCACAATTATACATTTCTCTTTTATGACAAAAATCATTAGGATATTAAGTAAAGATCATGTTCCATGAAGATATTTTGTAAATGTCCTACCGTAAATATATCAAAACTTAATGTTTGATTAGTAATATGCATTGCTAAGGACTTCATTTGGACAACTTTAAAGATGATTTTCTCAATATTTAGATTTTTTTTGCACCAGATTTTCAAATATTGTCCGATCCTAACAAACCATACATCAATGGAAAGATTATTTATTCAGCTTTCAGATGATGCATACATCTCAATTTCGAAAAATTGACCCTTATGACTGGTTTTGTGCTCCAGGGTCACAGATATATCTCTCTGGAAGAAGAGATTGTGAAGTCTCAATGGGATTCTCCGGGCTAAATAAAGGATAAATAAAATACAATTATATTCTGCATTAAATGTTTTACAGTTTTAGGACCATTACAATATGTCTTTTTACATTGTGACACTTTTACGTATTTCAACTTTAATACATTTAAAAAAAATACAGTTTAATGAGAATCTAATGAGGATTACACTAAAAACAATAAAAATTACAAACAAAACTCAAAAGCAAAACTGGATTTTTACAATGCGTAGAAGACTTAAGGAGAGACTCTTTTCACTTAAGACAATAACAAACATACTTAGAAATAAACCTAGCAACCGTTCAGAAGACCCTAGCAACCGCATAGCAATGCACAACAAACCTCCCAGAACAAAAAAAAAATGCATAAAAGTAGGGCACAATGTACCATGCATTAACATGAAGGAATTAGAAAAACATCCAATCCAAAAATCCAACTCAAGTACATTATAATTTGATGCCTATGGGATGTTTTGAGTGAGCAACCGTATCCGAGGAGGGCGGAGCTTAGTGAAAGCTCAAATAAAGAGTCGCGTGTCATCTCACACCCGTTACTCCTCAGCCAGCGTTTGTGTGCAGAGAGCCGCAGGTGAACGCAGGTGTTTGCGTGTGTGATGAAGCGTGAGCGCTCACCATTGGCTCTGGTGTTCACAGACGTGTTTCTGACAAGATGAAGCTTTTCTGATCCATTTCAGCTCACACAGCAAAACAACAGGCACTCTGGGACGACAGGAGACGTCTTCAGTAAGATGAGCTCTGTGCTTTCTGAGGAAAAATAAACAGAAGATCAGACAAATCATTGATCAAAACCACAGAGCGCTCTCCATTTAACTCAATAACCAGTTACCAGAGAGAAATGACTGATTACAGCGCACCTGCAGATCTATGCATCTCAAAAGAGACAATAAAATAAATCACTGTAATATCTGCAATCAGATTATAGAAGATCTGTAATAATGGAAGTGTGTTCCATATACACACACATATGTGTCCCTGCAGCACAAAAGCAGTGTTAAGTCGCTGGGATTTTTTTTGTTTACTTCTCATCTATGCATTAATGCTGTGTTTTGGGAGATATGAAGTACTTTTGTACCTATTTACCACAAAATTCCTCTACACCATTAACTTGCATGTGAAATATAAATTTTTTATGAAAACATCACTTAAAGGATGACCTAAATTTAATTTAAGTTGCTTCTGGATATTGATCTAGGTGTTAGGTGTAGAATTCTGCCATCTGCTAGGTAGAAATAAACCTAAAAGGATTACAGTTTAGGAAAGAAATAGTTTTGACCAGCAGAGGGCCATAGAGAGCCATTCATTTTACTGGATGTGGCCAACTGCTTCTATCACAACTTTTGTGAATCAATGGAAAGATTATTTATTCAGCTTTCAGATGATGCATACATCTCAATTTCGAAAAATTGACCCTTATGACTGGTTTTGTGCTCCAGGGTCACAGATATATCTCTCTGGAAGAAGAGATTGTGAAGTCTCAATGGGATTCTCCGGGCTAAATAAAGGATAAATAAAATATACAATTATATTCTGCATTAAATTTTTTACAGTTTTTAGGACCATTACAATATGTCTTTTTACATTGTGACACTTTTACGTATTTCAACTTTAATACATTTAAAAAAAAATACTGTTTAATGAGAATCTAATGAGGATTACACTAAAAACAATCAAAATTACAAACAAAACTCAAAAGCAAAACTGGATTTTTACAATGCGTAGAAGACTTAAGGAGAGACTCTTTTCACTTAAGACAATAACAAACATACTTAGAAATAAACCTAGCAACCGTTCAGAAGACCCTAGCAACCGCATAGCAATGCACAACAAACCTCCCAGAACGCTTTTGTAACCAGACTTGCATGTGAAATATAAATTTTTTATGAAAACATCACTTAAAGGATGACCTAAATTTAATTTAAGTTGCTTCTGGATATTGATCTAGGTGTTAGGTGTAGAATTCTGCCATCTGCTAGGTAGAAATAAACCTAAAAGGATTACAGTTTAGGAAAGAAATAGTTTTGACCAGCAGAGGGCCATAGAGAGCCATTCATTTTACTGGATGTGGCCAACTGCTTCTATCACAACTTTTGTGAGTAATATGCATTGCTAAGGACTTCATTTGGACAACTTTAAAGATGATTTTCTCAATATTTAGATTTTTTTTGCACCAGATTTTCAAATATTGTCCGATCCTAACAAACCATACATCAATGGAAAGATTATTTATTCAGCTTTCAGATGATGCATACATCTCAATTTCGAAAAATTGACCCTTATGACTGGTTTTGTGCTCCAGGGTCACAGATATATCTCTCTGGAAGAAGAGATTGTGAAGTCTCAATGGGATTCTCCGGGCTAAATAAAGGATAAATAAAATATACAATTATATTCTGCATTAAATTTTTTAGAGTTTTTAGGACCATTACAATATGTCTTTTTACATTGTGACACTTTTACGTATTTCAACTTTAATACATTTAAAAAAAATACAGTTTAATGAGAATCTAATGAGGATTACACTAAAAACAATCAAAATTACAAACAAAACTCAAAAGCAAAACTGGATTTTTACAATGCGTAGAAGACTTAAGGAGAGACTCTTTTCACTTAAGACAATAACAAACATACTTAGAAATAAACCTAGCAACCGTTCAGAAGACCCTAGCAACCGCATAGCAATGCACAACAAACCTCCCAGAACGCTTTTGTAACCAGGCAGCAACACTCTTGCGTCGTGACCTTTGCACGGTCACACATCGCTGACATTTTCCTCACATGAAAAACTCCAGTGTCATATTTGTGAGACTGTAGACGACAGGTGTCTTTCTGTCTTTCTGTCTTTCTGTCTCTGGTTTCAGCGCAACCGTTTAAAATAATGTTCTGTTCTTTCTCCTCCATCTCGCCACTGTGTATCCTAGCAACAACCCCTTCAGTCTGTGTCTCTGTTGTGTGTGTGTGTGTGTGTGCATGTGTGTGTGTGTGTGCGTGTGTGTGTGAGAGTGCGTGTGTGTGTGCGTGTGTGTGTGCGTGTGTGTGTGTGAGAGTGCGTGTGTGTGTGTGTGTGTGTGTGTGGAGCTCTGTGCTTTCTGTGGAAAAATAAACAGATTATTAGACAAATCATTGATCAAAACCACAGAGCGCTCTCCATTTAACTCAATAACCAGTTACCAGAGAGAAATGACTAATTACAGCGCACCTGCAGATCTATGCATCTCAAAAGAGACAATAAAATAAATCACTGTAATATCTGCAATCAGATTATAGAAGATCTGTAATAATGGAAGTGTGTTCCATATACACACACATATGTGTCTCTGCAGCACAAAAGCAGTGTTAAGTCGCTGGGGGATATTTGTAGCAATAGCCAACAATACATTGTATGGGTCACAATTATACATTTCTCTTTTATGACAAAAATCATTAGGATATTAAGTAAAGATCATGTTCCATGAAGATATTTTGTAAATGTCCTACCGTAAATATATCAAAACTTAATGTTTGATTAGTAATATGCATTGCTAAGGACTTCATTTGGACAACTTTAAAGATGATTTTCTCAATATTTAGATTTTTTTTGCACCAGATTTTCAAATATTGTCCGATCCTAACAAACCATACATCAATGGAAAGATTATTTATTCAGCTTTCAGATGATGCATACATCTCAATTTCGAAAAATTGACCCTTATGACTGGTTTTGTGCTCCAGGGTCACAGATATATCTCTCTGGAAGAAGAGATTGTGAAGTCTCAATGGGATTCTCCGGGCTAAATAAAGGATAAATAAAATACAATTATATTCTGCATTAAATGTTTTACAGTTTTAGGACCATTACAATATGTCTTTTTACATTGTGACACTTTTACGTATTTCAACTTTAATACATTTAAAAAAAATACAGTTTAATGAGAATCTAATGAGGATTACACTAAAAACAATAAAAATTACAAACAAAACTCAAAAGCAAAACTGGATTTTTACAATGCGTAGAAGACTTAAGGAGTATTAAAAATAGATATTCTTTCAAATGGTATAATTGTTTGTGGTTTTTGATGCATTTTGAAATGTTTGTTTTCAAAAAATGCCAGAGAAATTGGACAGAAAAATGCCACATAAGACACACCTAAAGGACAAGACTTAAGAGTCAGACTGTAGTTGCATATTATTGATTTTAATGAACCAAGTGTAAAAAAAAATAAAATAAAATAACTTTAGAATGTGTGTGTGTGAGAGAGAGTGCATGTGTGTGTGTGTGTGTGGGTGTGTGTGTGTGTGTGTACACAAATTTATAGAAGCAATTTCCCAAGTAGTCCTGTGCATAAGTCATATCTGATAAATACTGACAAAGAACACCACACAGATGTCACAAAACCTGCCAAGAACATGCACGACTTATGTTTCTCCCCAAATTCAAAAGATACAAATAAAAAAAATATTTATACATCCGGTATTAAAATATAATTTTAGGACCATTGCTATTTTTTTTCTGCATTGTGACATTATTTTTAAAATTAATATTTAATTGATTTTAATGCATTTTTACTTGAATACATTGCAATGAGAATCTAAGGATGAAAAATTATTATAAAATTACTGTAAAATATGTGTTTTACAAGAAAATACTATTTTAGTCTTTACTTCAAATTTTCATGTTTAATTCAATGTGTTATTTGCAGTTTCCACACCATTTTGTTTTTCATTGAAGGATTTACTTTTGTTTGCATTGTGATATTATTTTTTACATTCGTATTTAATTTATTTTGATGTATTTTTACTTTAATACATAAATGAGATTTCAATGAGATTTACAATTAAAAAGGCTGATTTTGTTTATTCTGTGCTTTTATTGATATTTTTTATTTTTTATACATCTGTTGTGATTATTTTATGATTATTTAAAATTATTTTTATGTGAATTACTATTCTGAAATTTGCTATATAAATAAACTTGCTTGCTTGCTTGGATGCATTACAGAATTTCAAAATGTTTGGAAGGAAAATCGGTTTAATTGTCATGAAAACAAAACACACAAAGCAAAAATCTTTAGTGTATTCCTGTTTCTTTGGCCATGAATAATAACTCATTTCAAACTTCATTTGAAAGCAGAAATATAAATACAGAGCTTGGATGAAAACTGTAAGACAGAAGTAAAACAGCACAGGTGACATCTGAACACAAACACATATTTTTCTTTGAAAAACTACTATTTTGTTTCTATAAAGAGTGACAGTTTCTCTCTTCACCACTATTTATGTTTTAATACACATCTTTGTGAATATCATCACTCAGCTGATGGATGCATTCAAGTCTTTTATATCAGACCTGCATGAAACCAGTCAGATGTTTGATGCAAATACTAATATAATGATCTCTAGAGAGAAAATTGAACGACAACAATTAAGATGCACACAAATACCTGGAATTTTATATAATATGTTCATTAATAAATATGTGGCTCTCAGTAGATTTTGGATGGAATAACACTTGTTAATCATGCAGTCGTATGCACTCGATGAATAATGGGCAATATATCGGTCTAATCATCGCATTCGACAGCATCCATCTGCTCGAATCCCCCGGTGTGTCCTCAAACACCCATAATGCCCCGCTGGAGTCGCCACATACCGATGCAGCCCGAAAACACAGACGGCCAGCATCCACAACACCCCCTCCCCCACATCCAGCTCACCTTCAGCGAGGATGGAGCGACTGCCAGACGGATGCTTCTCCTCCGACACGACACACAGCGGATGAAAAACACAATACATCAAGAAACACAGCATGCAAAGAGCATCCAGTACAGCAGAATCCCTGCGCACTAGCAGCGGTCACCCATCTCCGGCTCTCTCTGTGTGTCTGTGTGTTTATCTATCGCAGACCTCTTCTGTTCCAGTGCTTCTTCTTTTTTGCCTGACAACACAGTGAACTGAGCATGCTCAGAGAGAGCCAGCAAAGAGAGAATCATGTGACCTACAGCTGACAACAGAGAGAGAGAGAGATGCAATGCATTTGCCTGGATTGTCAGAAAAAAGATCAAACACACCATATTCAAGAGCAATAGTTGACTTTTTAGTCTTTCATCTGATTTTATTACATTTGCTGGCACCTTGTTTTCTGATGCTTTGCCAATATTGTAAGTAAATCATCCTAAGTGATGGCTTTGAGTTTGAAAACTGAAACTGATGGAGACAGAAAGAACGAGATGAAGAGTATAAAGCAACATCTGCGTCGTGATGGTGTATTAGTGCTATTAGTGCTCTGTGTGTTTTTATGATTGTGTATTGAGGAATGTGAGCAGAACAGAGTTTTGCATCTATGCATGTGATTGTGGTCTTACTCCAGCTCTAGTCTGCGGTGTGAAGGCCTCAGCCGTTACCATACTAATTAGAGTTTACCCTGCTTACCTCGTTTAGAGCCTCGCTGTACACAATGACCTCCAGAGCGAGAGAGAGATAAGCCATTATCCGGCTCGTGACTCACGTCTCTGAGAGAGACACAGAGCTGTCTCATATCCTGCCATCCTGTAAAAAAGACACATGCATTAATTATTCATAAGCACTTAATATAGCACATTCCTATTTTAGAATCAACGACTAAAGCAGAACTGCTCTGAAATGAATGCTTCACACACTTCACCAGTGTGTTTTAGATGCAATTCAGTGTGACAAATTGCTTTTATCTATTAATTAACACTATTAAAATATATATATATATATATATTTAAGAAAATAAAAAAATTGGTAATTGAAATAAAGCTGAAATAAAAATATTAGTAGAACTTAAGAAACTTCAATTAAAAACAAAACCAAAAATGTTGCTTTAGCAGCTAACTAAAATAAATAAATAAGGAGTACTAAAATTAATCAAACTAAATCTGTAATAAAATAATTTAAAGCTATATTGAAATTTTACAAAAAAAACTTAAAAAAATTACAAACTAAAATAAAATTAGTTATAAAAAAATTATTAAAACTTAAATAGAAAACTGAAAATAAAAATTTAAGAATAATTCAAAATATTACTATAATAGTATTTAAATAATAATAGAATAATACTGCTGAAATTACTGAAATATATATATATTTTTTAAACTAAAACATTTTTTTTTCAGCCGGTTGCCAAGGCAACAGCTCTCATTTATTTTTAATTTAAAAATTAAATAATAAATAAGATATTAAAATATGACAAAAATGAAAACAAGAAAATTGGTAAAACTTTAACTAAAATTAAAATGCAAACATACTCTAATTCAAAGTATTCATAAAAACTATAATAGTTCCTAAATGTCACTAAAAGAACATTGCGGAGAACATCAGGTAATCTTACAATGCACGCTATTATAAACATTCAGTTTGTGTATCTGTAGGAAAATGCTGTGGATTCATTCCTCTGGAGACTTAAAGGAGACAACTTTATCAACGGAGTATCGGATTTATCTCAGATGTTGCTCTAAAAAAATTCCTTTGAAAAATAGAAACAGGCCCTGAGTCAGTATAGAATACAGAGCATTAAAGTGAATGATTTTCGATTGCAGACTTTGTTGAGTCACTGTTGAGTGTTTGAGAGTCTTAATCCAGAACAGTGTTGCTACTGACGGCCAATCCAGAGAGCATCAGTGGGATTTACGCTGGGATTTGACCACTGCCCGTCGATGCAGGCATCAGTTGTGGCTTACAGCTCGGGGTTGCGCGGATTGGTCGATGGGTTTGGGCGAGAGGCACAAGGACACGCAGCAGGTGAGCAGTGGTCAGTGAGCAGCGGTCAGCATGGGCAGCGGGAGCAGCAGCAGCGGCGGGGCCGTCGTGGAGAGCAGGTGAGTTCTCACACCTTCACCTGGACACAGACGTGCAGATGGTCAATGCAGTCTGACCGCGTCAAACTGAGTCATCTTCAAACAGTAACCAATACTAGTCCAGAACATGAAATGCTGCATACATTAAAATGATGCATCCTCATCCTGTTCAATACTGTCAGCTTCAATGCAAACCAACCCTGCACATTCTCAAATATGGCCAAGGTTTCCTATAAACCCTTTATTTTAGTCTGAGCGTCAGTGTTGTGGAGGTTAAAGTACAGTTTTGCAGTGTTGCACAGGGGATTGTTTTCAAAACTGGTGCATTTTTATTTGCAGAGGCCTGAATATGAACAAAAATCCCACACAAACCCAGTGACCACCAGGTGGAGAAATACTGTGACTGGACAGTTTAAATAGCATCTATGCTACATTGATGCCACATGACCTTGTTATGTTGCATGCTTGATATATAAGTGGCATCTGATTTTCATCTCAGAGATAATTACTTTACAATTGCAACACATTTCGTGTTGAAATGTCATGAATATTTTAAGCTCAATCCAAATCTAAGCATCTGCGCCTGCTTGTCAATTACCACAACAATAATTTAGCGTGCAAACTGCAAAAAATGTGTTATGCACCTATAATGGCAGAGAAGCATACAGCAGATGCACCATAAACCTCCAATTATAAGTGGATGTTTAATTAGTTTGCAGAGTTTATTTTGTTAGCAATTAGGTTACTACCGGTTCTGAGAATCAATCACAGGATGAAAGGCCGATGATGCATGTTATTTTGTGAACATTTTGATATTTTTATGTGTAATGTTCTTTCACTCATTAGGCGCCATCTCGTTCCTGGTTGAAGTACAGAAATAAATGTGCAGATTTGAAATCTGTGGCATGAAAATGGTGCATTTGATTCTTTATTGGCATCCTTAAAACTCACCTCGGTGCTGATCTTTCACATGACTGCCATCATCTTGCATTTACCTGCCCATACTCTGTGGATATATATCTGAGCTAAAAGAAAGAAAGATGTTTTCACTGCCACTGGTGCCAGTGTATGCACACTAGAGGACGCTGTCTAGCGATTGACCAGAGCCCTTTAAATGCAAAAACTGCAGTCTCCAAGAGCACAAATGCACTGTTATTCATGTAAACCATCACTTCATATTTAAATTCCTGTTGTAAATTACACAACTGCATGTGACGAGCCAGTGGTACAGTGATGGTATCAACACCTGACTCATATGACCAGACAGCTTTGAATGACTTTGCTAATTGTATTCAGCAAAGAAAATGTTTTTTTTTCTATAATGCATCAGTCAAAAGCATAGTGCATGCACAAATGCGCGTCAAATAAACATTGAATAACTGTGGCACAATAGTATCGCCACAGAACATGTCCAAACAACAAGGTTTTACCATTGCACATGTTCAAAAACATGGTATATGTACAAAAAACGCATGGTACTACCATGGTACTCGTTCAGTTAGTGGTATTTGTGATATAGACATGTTCATAGTGTCCTTGCATCACTAATGCAGTCTATATGCGACACAAAATCTGTTCGATGTTCGCTCATTAAGGAGTTAAACGTGCGAGTCTGGATTAATTTCGCTGTGTTATCTTTATATACACACACAGTCGAATCGCTTTCTATGGGCAACACGTCCACTGCGTTATTTAAACATGCATTTTATATTATCAACAAGAACTTTGTCATTCATTTGTAGTTTAACACAGCAGCACAGCAGCATCCTTGTCACGTGACCTCCTCGTGCTCTGGCACCGTGCCGTGTCTCGCGCTCTGATTGGATCATTCCACTTCCCTGCGTTTCATAATCCCCCATCAGGAAGCTTGGCTTTGTTTATCAAATCTTTTCTTTAATTGAGATTTCATTAGAGATCTTTCTCTGGAACGATATAATCAAATACTGCTTTTTTTTTAAAAACGCTATAGTGATGTTTTCATAGTTTGACGTCGTAAATATCAATCCGCGCGTGTCTTTGGCGGAAGTAGTTCCCGGTCGGTTTGGCGGATCACCTTGAGCTCGCGATCGGGAGCGCATCATCAGTCACGGCCGACGGTCATCAAACGCAGGTGAGTGCCGCTAACGTTATCTTCAGAGCGACGCTTACAGACAAAATCAACCTCATAGTTATATTTGTCATTGGCAACGTTAGTGTGTACAGTTCTAGCAAAGGTTTTCGTTCGCCAGAGCAGCTGCTGTCATAAAATAGCGCAGGTTTGGGTTATTTTCACTATTTTCACTTAACCGCTTTTGAGCTATTTGTGTATTTAATTGATCAAAAGTTAATTTCCGCTACGTTTCCACCACACTGTGTGTCTTTAAGTGTAGATTTCACTGTTTTATGCTGACTAAGTTAACCGTCTCTTGACATTCATCGTTGTTTGTAATTTTAACGTTGGACGGCGGGTCAATAACCGTCATTATTTTTAAATTCATTCGAATTAGAGTCTTACGTACGCACGTCTCGCCGGCGGAGAATGTGACGTAGAGACGTTACGTGACCCGCAGCGCATCCGCCACATTGTCTCGAGCTCGACTAAACCAGAAGCACCTGTGTGCATGCAGATGCAGAGGATTGCGATGTTTGATCCTCAGAGCGGCTCTGCACGCGCTGCACGCATGCCTTGATATCTGCATTATCATGGAGTGCATTGCGTTATCACCCTTTATTAGGTGCAGTGATGAATGAATGGTACTGACTCAGAGATGCGGATTCTGGCTCTCTGGTCGTGTGGGCACGCACACTTCACTGATAGGTGCTAATTATGATGCTGCATCATGTTTGTGCGAGGGAGGAACTGGACAGTTTTGCGTGTTTGTCTTGCAATCACATACCTTGACACTTGTGCCTTCTCAGTCTTCTTGCTTCATGTGTCAGCTCCATTGGCCTGCGTCATTCAGAAAGAAATAGAAAGCTTTTTACATTCCCAGGGGCATCTTTACGCCGCTCAAAACCCAGCCAGGCTAAATTATGCCTGAGGTTACATCTCACAATTCTGCTTTTGATTCTGCCGCAACATAAAGGTGGTTGCAACCTTTTATTTCACAATTCTAAGATTCTCAAGAAAAAAAGGCAGAATTGTGAGGCCTACTGTAATTATGAGAAAGTTGCAATTATTTTTTTCTACCCTGTCATGAAACAAGCTTGCGTAGTACAGTTGAAATTGTGTAAATGCATTTATGCCGAGCCTAAGCAGCATTAAATAGTGCTTCAGTGCAAATTTGGCACGAGTCAGTTTCTGAATTTCAATTGGGGTAGTAAGCTGAGTGCGAATTAAAGAAACTAGTATTAAAATGGAATTAAATAAAGCAGTACACCAAGCCAACATAATACATTTTATTTATTCATAAATGATCATTCTGATTTGTGCTCAGCCCTGCGTAGCTTGAATTCATGTGTGCATTAACAGACAGCAAATTAGCTTTATTATAAACACTGTTGGCACTTTGATCAAGCTGTCACACTCTTTCGGGGAAGCTGTTTTCAGTTCTGAGTGTGTGTTGATGCAATACGGGAATGTTTTCTGTAACATCCTGTTGAGTTACACCACAATGTCAAAAGCTTCCACTAAACCAGCAGAAGATACCAGTAAAAGAGACGCCCACAGACACAAACCGACCTTTCATAGACCTCACCAGGGACGTCCCAGTGCACAGTTATTAGTCATTGTTCTGAATCATCGAGTAAAGAGAACAGACTCACCTCAGTCGCTCTTTGCTGCAGTAAAACACCCGTTTGGTTTCATGAACTGCAGTAGATATGAGTCCTGCAGACCTCTACGCCACTCCGAGCCTGTCGCGTTTCATACTGGTACAATCCCAGCTAGTCCAGTGCTCCTTATGGCATCCCATTCCTATTTTAGCCCAGCATTGTAATGTGATCTACAGTAAACAGTGCTGTTTACTGCCTGCAGTGGCTGTCCACAACTAAACCAGTGTGTTTAGGGACTAAAGTTGGGCTGAAGTCTTATTAGAGTCCTGCTCGTGCTTGTGGCTTGCGGGTTTTGTCCTCTCTGAAGAGGATTTAGTGCTCAAACTCCTCGGCAGCACAGTGCATGCTGCTTCATTCTGCCCAGCATCCGTGTCTGGCACCCTGGCACTCTTCTGCAGGGCTCTGACAGACACGGTGCCTTATTTCCCAGAGCCGACGGGCCTGCAGGTGGGTTCAGGGCCACTGTTTTTGATGAGTAAAGGAACTAGGCTTTGTTAGACTCTTACAGTTACTAAACCAGTTATTGTCACGACAGAACAAACACATTAACTTGACTTGACCGTGATGCTAGGGTGTTACTGGTTGCCAGGGTGTTGCTGTATGGATTCTTCCTGTTCACTGAGCTCTGAGAACAAAGCTGGGATTTCATAGCTGGGATTTTTGGAGATAAAGCAGGGAATGTGGTTATAAAACAAGCCTATAATAACAATACATTCTTGACTAATATTGACCTTCAGTGTCCTTGTGGCTCAACAGACAGCATCTGATGCTAACATAGCATAAAGCAATCAATACCAGGACTGACAACAGGCATGTTTGCCATGCTGCATGTAGCATTACCATCTCATTAGTTACACAAACCACAGTTTGCATCATTTCCTGTAGTATCAGGAAGTGGAATAGCCCCTCCTTTCACTATGAGTGTGTGTGGCTCACTGCACGAGGGCCTGGATTTTCCACTCTGCCTGTCTTAGTCATCACATGACTACGTGAGGAAGAGTGTGTGAGTGTTTTCCCTGAGATGTGCATCTGCTCACGTACGACAGCCCACCATGGCATCAATGCAGTGGGGTTTTATTAGGTTAGTGACCGCAGTGAAGTCCTCGCCAAAACCGTCCTGCTGCCAAACTGTGGTCATGTGACTGGTTTCACTTTCCTGTAAGAAGATTTAAAGTAGATAGCTGACTATTTGCACAAATTTGTCTGATTGTCTTAATTCGCAATTTACATTTAGCAGATGCTTTTATCCAAAGCGACTTACAAATGAGGACAATAAAAGCAGTCAAAACTAACAAAAGAGCAACAATATATAAGTGCAAGTGACAAGTCTTGGTTAGCCTTGTACACGTAGCAAGGCGTGTGTGTATATATATATATATGTATATGTATATGTATATATATGTATATATATATATATATATATATTATACACGCACACAAAGTAAAACAAGTAGATTTTTTTTTTAATAAAGAATAAAAGATAAATATAAAGTAGAATTAAAATAGAATAGAAAGTGCTAGATAATACGCCGTTCTCTTGCAGAACGCAAGCTTCTAGAGGGCACATAACTCTGAAGTAATGCATTTAGGTAAATGGGTGCAGAGCCAGTGCTGGTTTTGTAGGCAAACATTAATGCCTTGAATTTAATGCGAGCAGCTACTGGTAGCCAGTGCATATTGATGAACAGAGGTGTGACATGCGTTCTTTTCGGCTCATTAAAGATTAATCTTGCAGCGGCATTTTGGATTAATTGTAGAGGTTTGATAGAAGTTGCTGGAAGACCTGCCAAGAAAGCAATTCAGTCTGACATGATCATGATTTTGATGTGCGTGTGCCAACAGAGCTGTAATTGTCTGGATATCATCACATTGACTTTCCTGCGCTTCAGGCTGTGTCAGATGGATTATCTTATTATGTTTTAAATTGAGCTTTAGTAGCGTCCGCCTTAAGATACAAAATCCAAGTCAGCTCAAGCACACAAAGACTAGCTCATGGGGTTGTGTGTGTGTTTGATTAGTGCTGTATGACTTCACTGACCATAAAGACATGTCAGTGGACAGTCACATTCTTAGGTTGTGTGTAAGTCTGTTTGTATAAGATTCACTGATTTACTGTGTGTTTGATCTTCGCTCAGCATTGCCTTGTAGCTATAGAGATGTTTCTGTAATGAATGTTCAGTTTGTCTCATCTACTGTAGGGTCAAAGAGGGTTTGATTGCCTTGATTTTAGGGATGTAACGATTCACTCAACTCACGATGTGATACGATTCACGATACTGGTTTCACAATACCATTTTCTCGCGATAAGACAAATGAAAAGGTGTCGTTTTATTATTTCTCAGACAAAATGCCACATTTCTTTGTGAAATTTAAAAAATGTCAAATAACTAAACTGAAATTTTAAAACAAATCCCAAATAAATAAATAATACAAATAAAATAAAGTATTTTAAACAAGCTAAGGCCATCTAAAATCAGAGGCAACCACTGCATTTAATCACGATCCAAACAAAGATGCATCAGCAGTTTTTGATTTGAATTAGATCAGTTGAAATCTGAAGCAAACAAAGAATGGTGTGATATTAGCTTTGTGAAACTATACTACATAAAACATATCTGAACGAAACCAACAGCAGACAGACTGAATGAGAACGCAGATTGACAGCAGGTGGCGCTTCTAGAACCACAGCGTTTCATTGTTTACCGCTGTAAACAAAGCAGAGCTGCGCTTATGAACACTACTTTTAATGCATTATAAAGAGGCAAGATGGAAAGAAAATACTATCTAAATACCATCTAAACTTTTCTGAAGACAGTCAGTTCCCCTCAATCTGAACGAAACCAACAGCAGACAGACTGAATGTGAACACAGATTGACAGCAGGTGGCGCTTCTAGAACCACAGCGTTTCATTGTTTACCGCTGTAAACTAAGCAGAGCTGCGCTTATGAACACTACTTTTAATGCATTATAAAGAGGCAAGATGGAAAGAAAATACTATCTAAATACCATCTAAACTTTTCTGAAGACAGTCAGTTCCCCTCAGATGTACAGTTATATAAACCCCCTCTCCATTTAATTAATTTAACATCTCAACCGACTTGAAGACACATTTTTATAGATTTTCAACCTGCACAGGGTGCATCGTTACATCCCTACTTGATTTTCGTCTTTTATTCACATTGAATTATTCGCAGCAGCTGTTTACCGCTAGCTAGGTAACATTTCATTGTACAAATTTGGTTAGATGATTTTGTGATCCGTTGAGTCCACATGAAATGTGACTTGATTTCAGACAGACTGATGCAGTACACTGGTGCATGTGTGAGTTCAGAAAACAACTTTCACGTCAACAAACCTGAAACCCTCTGATTACCATCTGTGAGCCAAAGCCTAAACCACTAAAACGCAGCAACCGTACCTTTCTGAATGTGAAGGTCGCATTTTACACTTCCTGTCTGCTTTGATCATGGGATTGTGGTGATATTGAGAAAGACCTAAGAGAAAGTTTTATATTCGATTGTTAATGTTTTCATATTTCTGAGTGCTGGAGTCTGTTGCATAACATGGAATGGAAACATTCCTTTTCGCCACACCTTTACTACACACACACACACACACACAGACACAGACACAGACAGACACAGAGACATGTTCAGAGGAGCTGGTGTGAGGATAACTCTTTTGCTAAATTTATGTGACTCTAAATTCTTAGCAAAATGAGTTTGACTTTTATGGCTTCAGGCTCCCTACAGGGGTCCTGTTACGTTTTATGCTGTTGCGTTTAAATCAGGGTTAATCACTACAGTCTGTGTTTACCTTAAATATGTACTCTGGTTTTCAATAATTTGTCTCTCTGTCCATTATAAGATACATAAACACGCTAGACATCTAATTGGTCAGTTGATCATGTGGATGTTATTTCATTGGTCTCTCTCTCTTTGTAGGATATTACCCATCTCTTCCACGATGCCCCACACTAAAGCTCAGGATATGGGCTCTGCCTTCATCCAGACGCAGCAGCTCAACGCTGCCATGGCCGACACCTTCCTGGAGCACTTGTGTCTGCTGGACATCGACTCTGAGCCCACCATCGCTCGCAACACTGGAATCATCTGCACCATCGGTCAGCGGACACTCAGACATGTATACACACACACACACACACACACACACACACACACACAGCTGGATTGACTCAGATTTTAAAATGAATCTTCCACAAGCTGTTACTGCCAACAGTTTTATAATACAGTAGAAATATAACACATTAGCTTCTGTAATCACAGTTCAGCAAATGCTCTGGTGGATTATACGTCATTTAGGTGTTTAATTACTCCAGGTCCTGTCTGATGAGTGCTGCTATGTTTTAGCTGAGACTGGTTTCCCAAACTCTCCCCGTTTGTCATTGTCCTTATCGTTATTGAATTGTTTTCATGTGGCAACAGACACGGGCTGTTGAGAAAACGCATATTAAGTTAAAATAGTCCTACTTAGCAGTAAGTGATGGTGCATTGTGTGTCATTTGATCACAGGACCGGCCTCTCGCTCTGTGGAAACGCTGAAGGAGATGATCAAGTCTGGCATGAACATTGCTCGTCTCAACTTCTCTCACGGCTCACACGAGGTACATACTTCATTATTTACACACTTTCGTGCTTGTCTTCCTCTCTTCTCTCTCTCTCTGATTCTCATATCTATCCAGTATTAGTTATGCAGTTGATGGATGTATGTCATTCTCTACCAGAAATTATGCTATAACTGTCCATCTGAACGTCTCTGTAGCTCACAGCTTCAGGTTTGTGGACTGAAAGAACAGTTAAAGCATTCAATCGGGGTCAAAGGCCACCGGGAGAGAGAGAGAGTGTGTAACTTAATCTACATTGAGGCTGTTATAAATAGTTTATCAGTTCCCTCCCAGCGGCGAGCTTATCGTGTCTCTACAGTATAAAGGGTGGAGGTTTTACTGCACACTAATAGTTCATACAGGGGCCGCTGGCAATGAGCTGAGCTTCGTAATCACAGTGAACTTCATTTGCTTCATTTTCAGTTCATGACATGATCTGCAACTTGAAAATTCGGCTCAAATTTCTGAATGATAGACCGAACGGTGTCATGAATAGAATTCTTTCTTTGTATTTGCTCAAGCGGAAGCAATCTGATCCAGTTCTGGCCTGTTTGCAGCCTGACATGTTGGGAGCAAAAAGGTTAATTTAGGGCAAAATCATCAATTGAGCCAATCATCATTCCGAAAACTGAAGATATATCACCGTTCTCAATTTATGAGACATTTTGTCCCTCATGTATTAATTCGTACCTGAAAGCTGACCCTGATGTGACTCCTCTGTTCGAGGGTTTTGGGTTAAACAAATTCTGCCATCTAGCACAAACATTTCACACTCTTAAACAAACAGAGTGACCTTGAGTGTAGAGCTACTGAAACGAAAGTGACTAGATTGCGATTAGTACTACATCTGTATGACAGCACTAACGTCATGGATCAAAGGTACTCGTCTAACCTAGTTTGTTACAGCAGACTTCCTTTGCATGGTCAGTAGATCAAACTCTAACAGATGGACTTTGTGTCCTGTCATATCACACACTGCACGGACATAAGTGTCTACTCGTCTGTGCACGAGTGTGTGTGTGTTGTGCTTCGCTAGTCTAAAAACACACCTTGATCTTTGCGTGTGATTGAGCGTGTTCACAGAAGGTATAAGAATGACGTAACCTGTGCTGTCCGTTAACAATCGTACTGCCATGAGACATTTAAGTGCACTTAACATCAGCTGTTACACAAACATCTCCATTTATGATGTGTTTGGAGTGACTTGTCTAAATTTCTCTGGAAATTTCAGTGTTTCTTAGTTTTATTAATCTCTGGTTTCTTCTCTTTTAGTATCACGGTGCAACTATTAAAAATGTACGTGAAGCTTGTGCCAGCTTCGAGCTGGGCAGCATCCAGTACAGGCCAGTGGGCGTCGCTCTGGACACCAAGGGACCAGAAATCCGAACCGGACTCATTAAAGGGGTGAGTTTACTCACTTTAGTTCGGGTGCTACAAAGACTGATCCGCTGGTGCAAGATCAGTGTATACTACTGAGTTATCTGTTATTAGTGCAGAGATGAATACTGACGGATGCACAGCACTCTGGTTCTACAGAAATGTCAAAAATTCAGTCTTTGAGACCTCAAGAACATTTTCTTTGGCAGTTTGTTTTCATAGTGCAAATATGCATCTGTCTGTTTGCTTCAGAGCGGCACGGCTGAGGTCGAGCTGAAGAAGGGAAATAAGATCAAAGTGACCTTAGACGATTCTTTCATGGAGAACTGTGATGAGGAAACACTCTGGCTGGACTACAAGAACATCACCAAGGTGGTTGAAGTGGGCAGCAAGGTCTATATTGATGATGGACTCATTTCTCTCCAGGTCCTGGAGATCGGTGAGTGACAGATTTGCCACGGTAATAAAATAAATTGATAACAGGGTTTCTGCGGATCTTAAAAATGTACCTTTCACGTGTTAAGGCCTTAAAAAGGTCTTTAATCAGCATAAAGTTATGGCATTAAATGTTGCATGCATTTCAAAAAGATGACTATCTTCCTCAGTACAAACATGTAAACATCCTTAAATCAAGATACATTTTAAATCAATCGAATTTTTCTGATCCTATTGGCAAATATTTGCTCTTGTTTTAATCATAAATGCACTTTTGTGTCTCCTTCCATTTATTCCTTAAATTTTCTTTAATTGGTCATTAAATTTACTCTCACAAAACCTGCAGAAACCCTGTGATAAATCAGTTTGATGCGTTTACTTTTTTGCTTCTGTTGCTGAAGCACAGTATTGCATTTATAACTCATTAGTCTGTTCAAGTAAATGTGACATAACGCTGGTTACTACTTGTGTGGACACTGTGTAATGGATAGAATCATCTTTTTCTGCTTGATGAATAAAATCTCTTTCTCAGGCTCGGACTATCTGGTGTGTGAAATTGAGAATGGAGGAACTCTGGGTAGTAAGAAGGGTGTCAATCTGCCGGGTGCTGCAGTCGACCTGCCCGCCGTGTCAGAGAAAGACGTCAAGGACCTGCTGTTCGGCGTGGAGATGGGAGTCGACATGATCTTTGCCTCCTTCATCCGCAAGGCATCTGATGTGCACGAGGTGCGTAAGGTGCTGGGAGAGAAGGGCAAGAACATCAAGATCATCAGCAAGCTGGAGAACCACGAGGGTGTGCGCAGGTAAGCTGATGACACCTGTTTCTCCAGCTGTACCGACCCCCAAACTCTATGTAGTATTAGATGTGGGATTAAAAATGATTTGGATTTGAATGCATCTCCTTTTATTCACCAGGTTTGATGAGATCATGGAGGCCAGCGATGGCATCATGGTTGCCCGTGGAGACCTGGGTATTGAAATCCCCACAGAAAAGGTGTTTCTGGCCCAGAAGATGATGATTGGTCGCTGCAACAAAGCAGGAAAGCCAATCATCTGTGCCACACAGGTCAGCTATGCTGAGATACGACCCCATATTAACATGCATTTCAAGAAAATATATCTGAACTAGAAATAAGTCCATAATATATTCTCCTGTAGTATTTTAAAAGGGTTAATCTTGCAGTTTAATTGCTCTAATGAAAGTAAAGGAGCAGTTTTCTTGTAATGGTTGTTCTTCCAGAACTAGCGCATCTATAAAATAACTATCTCAAGTCTTGTGTGTTTATAGATGTTGGAGAGCATGATCAAGAAGCCTCGCCCTACGCGTGCCGAGGGCAGCGATGTGGCCAACGCCGTTCTGGATGGTGCCGACTGCATCATGCTGAGTGGAGAGACCGCAAAGGGAGACTATCCTCTGGAGGCCGTACGCACCCAGCACATGGTGAGAGCGCCCCCTACTGACACACATTAACCCTGATAGACAACTAAACGCTGTAGTATCTGACTCACACATTCCTCATGTTTTCACTCATAACTTGCTCATCTAAAAAAAATACTAAAAGAAATTTCGTCCTTGCTAAAGTAAATACATTGTCATGTATGTGTATTTTTGGATGTTTTTTTTCTTGAGTGGTTATTAACATCGTGCAAAGTTGTCCACTGTTTCAGTGAAAAAGCAATATGGTTCATTTCTGTATGTTGACTAAGAGCAGCATGATGATGCAGAATAATTTCAATTAATATTCTCAGTTATAATTCAATCATTACCTGACCCTTTTTTTCCATGAATGGCTATGAGTGTGTGTGTGTGTGTGTGTGTGTGTGTGTGTTTGGACGGTGCAGAACAGAATCAAGTAAGGTATTAGCTTTAGGCTTCTGTCAGTAATTTAATTTAGTCACATGATTGTCTTTAGGTCAGCACTTTATGTGTTAGTGTGGGTGGGTTTGCGGTGTAGGTAAATTCTGGTTTCCTTGACCATCTTATCTATTAGTTCTGAGTGATACAGAATAAAAAAAGTCTCCTGGAACTCCTCAGAAGGTGTTAGAACATTCTGCATCACAACTTGGCAGCTTCTAATACTGTTGTCGGATTGTCCAGGTCCGCTCATCTGATCTCCCGGTACCGCCCGCGTGCCCCAATCATCGCCGTGACCCGTAACGAGCAGACGGCCCGACAGGCTCATCTGTACCGCGGCATCTTCCCTGTGTTCTACAACAATCCTGCCAACGATGTTTGGGCCGAGGATGTGGACCTGAGGGTCAATTTTGCCATGGAAGTCGGTAAGACACAGAGGTGGAAGACTGGAGCACACATTTTAAAACATTATTTATCATACATTTGCCAAATGGTTAGAGTGAGAAACTGGACATCGCACAGCCTCGCGTTCTAAAATCGGCTCAAAATGTCAAACATGTTTGATATATTCCAAATGAATGGAATCATAGTCTGACGCTAAAATATCAGAGTCTGTACCCATCATAAACAACACAATTTTCTATGAAATCCATCAGCTCCAACTGCCCAAAATCTGCAGTCTCTTTGACTTTCAGCAACTAGTCAAGTCAAGTCTGCTTTGTCAATTCTTCCACATGTACAGTACATACACACAGAGAATTGAAATTGCGTTACTCTCAGACCCTTGGGTGCATACAGATAACATAAATACAGATTAAATACAAAATACAAATATACAAACAAGGTAGAATGTAAAAATATATATATATATATAGCACAAGGCATATGGAAGATATGCCTTGGAAGATATGCAAACCAGTAAAGTAAACAACAGTGCAGATATAGTGATTGTAGTGCAAAAAAATGATTTGTAGTGCAAAAGAGCTTATTCAGACTGATTAAAGTGACCGTGTGTGTGTGTATTTGGGAGGGGGAGTGGGAGAGTCCATCAGAGGGTCAGAGTTCAGTGGTGCGTGGGGCAAAAGAGGGGAGGGGGGGCAAGGTCGGGAGGGAGTTCAGCTTCCTGACAGCCTGATGTATGAAGCTGTCCTTCAGTCTGCTGGTCCTGGCCTGGAGACTCCGCAGTCTCCTCCCTGATGGCAGCAGACTGAAGAAGCTGTGTGTCGGGTGGGTGGGATCACCTGCAATGCAGAGGGCTTTGCGGGTGAGACGGGGGTTGTAGATGTCCTGAAGGGGGGGGTGAGAGGCACCAACGATCTTCTTAGCTGCTCTCACTATGCGTTGAAGTGTCTTGCGGCAGGACGCGTTGCCGGCGCCATACCACACAGTGATGCAGCTGGTCAGGATGCTCTCGATGGTGCCTCTGTAGAAGGTGCACATGATGGGGGCCGGGGCTCTGGCTCTTCTCAGTTTGCGGAGGAAGTAGAGATGCTGCTGTGCTTTCTTGGCCAGTGCTGCGGTGTTGTCAGTCCAGGAGAGATCCTCTGTGATGTGCACACCCAGGAACTTGGTGCTGCTCACCCTCTCCACAGTCACACCATTGACGGTCAGAGGAGCATGCTGAGTGCGCACTCTCCTGAAGTCAACAACAATCTCCTTCGTCTTCTCCACATTCAGAGAGAGATTGTTGTCACTGCACCACCCGGCCAGGCGGCTCACCTCGCTCCTGTAGTTTGTCTCCTCTAAATGTTAGGGTAAAGATCTGTGCAAAAGGTGCGTAGTGAATTCCAGCCTTAAAGCCGTCTGCAGTATTGTCAGTATCCAGGATTTCTTGATTACCAAGAGACTTTCTTTAATGTCTGAGCAAACTGAAAACTGCTCATGCGCATTTTTTTTTTTTTTAGTCTACAATAAAGTTATATTTATAAAAGATCTTATAAAAATGTTGGTAACACCTTAAAGTAAGGTTCTATTTGTTGACATTGGTTAACTACATTAACATTAACTCACAATGAAAAATAATTCTAAAGCTTGTATTAATCTGAATGCTCATTTCTACATATCCTAATACATTATTAAAATCAAAAGTTAATGTCAATATTTAATGCACAGAACATGAACAACGAACTGTTGTGGTTTTTATCAACTCAAGTTAACAAAGATAATAAATACTATAAGAAATGCATTGCTCAATGTTAGTTATTATTAATGCTTTTGTAGTGTTTCCAAAATTTCCAGCTGATTACATATAAATAAGCAAAGTAAACATTCATCAAGAGGCTTTTTAATACATTAAAAACTATCAAAGTAGCTTTGATGCACAGACTATGTAAAATAGCCTGTTAATATTAAACTATAAAACTTTTATTCTAACACCATTAAACTGAAATTTTTGCATGTTAAAGTCAGCAGGTATTTGACATTTGAGTATAGATTTCCGTACTGTTCACACTCGAGTCATAATTTAAGGTTAAATGTTGTGCTTTTTCTTTTCACAAGGACCAGTGAGCGTAGCTACAACCGGTTACATTTTACACTGCAGGCTGCAACTTAGTACTAATGCACACTAAACTGAAAATAATAATAATGTAAATGGATAAACATGCATAGACATGGGCTGTCAGTGTGAGTGCATGAGCACACCTGCGATCAGGGTTCTTCATATCAAACCCTCTTGTCTCTCTCAGGTAAGGCTCGTGGGTTTGTCAAGCCTGGTGATGTGGTGATCGTCCTGACCGGCTGGCGTCCAGGATCCGGTTACACCAACACCATGCGCGTCGTCCCAGTGCAGTAAGCTGGACGGGACCGCAGCTGTTCATACAGCACTCCCTTCCCTCCATCGCATCCCACCCGACTCCAGCAGGCTTTCAGACCATCATCTTCATCGTCACGAGCCTGGCTCCTCCCACAGGCCTGTGGACCATCATCACATAGACGTTTTGTTCTCACTACTTTCATTTCCTTTTCAGTCTCGAGCATAATCTCACACTCATGTGCTCGTCTGTCTGCATGCCCGGTGAAGCACAGACGGGTCGTGAGCGCCGAGCGAACACCTTTGCCCTCGAACAAACAGCAGCTTCCTGAAACAAGCATGTGGCAAAGGGCTGAGGCGTACTGTAACTCTAGTTAGTTTTATTTGTAGTGTTCGTGTGCTTTATTTGCACTGTCTCTTTGTTCACACTCCTAATGATGTTACATTCTGTGTTGCACTTGTCCATGAGACCATTTGATTTGGGGCGAGGCGACCAATGTGCTATATATTTTTTGAAATGTTAACGTTGGGATGTCCACGTCCGGCTCATTTCATTGTGTTTTAGTGGAGTAAGAGAACGGCAGAGTTTCTGAGAGATGAATATCGATCATTCCCAGCATCCATCTCTCCTGTTCATCCCCTCACGACGCGCTCGTCCGTGTCTGCTGCTCCTGAATGTGTGTGAGAGCGAGAGTGAGTGTGTGTTCAGATCTACCTGCTTTGTGTCGCTAGGGTGCAAGATGTACTTATAACTGTAAGAGTAAACTATACTATCGTTGTATTATTCAAGACTGAATTAATAAAGCAGATGAGCACCTGGACAGACTCCTGTGGTTTTATTGATGTCAGTGCCACTTTTGTTTTTATATATATATATACATTTATTATTATTTTTTTATTTTAAAACAATAGTTGAAGCAAAGTGCTTTATAATAAACATTCAGTCTCAACATAATATACCCTTTTATAACTACCAAAAGTGTAAAATATTAAAAATGTATTCAAAAGCTAAAGAACGAAAATGGTTTCAAAGATTTAAAAGCATCAGGTGTGAGTTTTTGAACCCTGGTTCTGTGTAGTTATTGTAAGTCATGTTGGCCGTGTTCTACATTAATTAAAAATAAAAATAAATAAAAACCGCAAGACTGATCTGACGTGAAATTGAAGCTTATTCCAAAAATTCAGATTTTATTCTCTTTACACAATCAACAGCTGAAATACTTATTTATTAAATTACTATTTTATAATAAAAATTATTAAAACCTAGTATAAAATTTCAAGTTTTAAAAACATTTTGTGAGCTAATGTTCAGCTATACTATTGTTCAGATATCTCTAAAAATGTTATAGTGCCACTGCCATAGCATGATGCATGAAATCAAACTTGACATTATTTGCATTCATGCACTTGTATAGTGTGTTCAGGCCTAAAGCTGATAGTCTAATCACTTACAGTAGTGCCGTTTCTCCTGTTCGTATTTCAGTAAGTGGGTTTATACAGCAGATGAGGTCTGGATAAAGTAGCAGCTCTGCTTTCCCGATGAATGCTTCCTTTGTGTTCCTGCTCAAGGTCACTTACATAAGAGCATCTGTATAACAAATGAGCCTTATCAGATGAGAACTGGAGCCAGAGCGGTTAAGCAAAGCATCAGGTGACAAGCGGACTCAACACAGTTCAAAAATCATCATATAACATTAACACATATTCTTTGTTGCATTAATGTCATCACAAACTGCAGCAATATTATAAAATATATTAAGTTCAACGATATGCAAAATTAATGTCAGGCTGAATTAGAAAATGGAGCATTTATGTGATTTAGTCTATTCAATAAAACAAATGTAAATCTGCAAAAGACGTAGAAAAAGAGGAAATCAGGCAGAAAGGCATAAAATAATGTCATGCATGTGAAACTGGCTGAGAACTGAACAAACAAA